AAATATATATCTCTATCTCTACCTCTACCTCTACCTCTACCTCTACCTCTACCTCTGTCTGTCTGTCTGTCTGTCTGTCTGTCTGTCTATCTGTCTATCTATCTATCTATCTATCTATCTATCTATCTATCTATCTATCTATCTATCTATCTATCTATCTATCTATCTGTCTTTATACCGATAGGGGGCTCTGCATTGAACAGCCAGAAACCTCCCATTTATATTCAAGAACTGGCAGTCTATTTACAGTCATTCTTAATTTTATTGACGATGTGAGGGCTAAATATATATTAGGATATAAATCTATTTACTGCTGCTCGTTGTGGCTCCCTTGAGCATGCAAAAAAGAAAAAGAAAAAAAAAGGGGGGGGGGAAATCCCAGCCACTCAATCCCAAAAACAGGAGGCAAAAAGCTTGAAACATGTTAAAATCCACATTTTAAAAAGAAGCAGACGCGCCAATAACAAGCCAGGCTTCGAACAGAGCATCCGTTGGCCAAGAAAATATCTCCTGCCTGGCATTATTTGTAAAAATAATAAAGCAGAATACCAACAAATAAGCAAATAAACAGGGTCTTTTTATGACCCTGTAAAACCGTGAATTCAGGGTAGTAAATATTCATTCATAAATATTTCCAGAGCAAGGCATAGGTACCAAAAATATCTATCTATCTATCTATCTATCTATCTATCTATCTATCTATCTATCTATCTATCTATCTATCTATCTATCTATACACTCTATTTATCTAACCAACCAACCAACCAACCAACCTACCTACCTACCTACCTACCTGTCTGTCTTCTGTCTGTCTGTCTATCTATCATTATCAGCTATCTTTATCTATCTATCTATCTATCTATCTATCTATCTATCTATCTATCTATCATTATCACCTATCTTCTATCTATCTATCTATCTATCTATCTATCTATCTATCTATCTATCTATCTATCTATCTATCTATCTATCTATCACCTATCTTCTATCTATCTATCTATCTATCTATCTATCTATCTATCACCTATCTTCTATCTATCTATCTATCTATCTATCTATCTATCTATCTATCTATCTAATCTATTTATATCTATCTCTATTATCTCTCTCTCTATTTATATCTATATCTATCTATATCTATCCCTATCTCTATCTATCTAATCTATTTATATCTATCTCTATTATCTCTCTCTCTATTTATATCTATATCTATCTATATCTATCCCTATCTCTATCTAATCTATTTATCTATCTCTATATCTCTATGTATCTCTTTAGCTCTCTATATCTATCCATCCATCCATCCATCCACACACAAACACATATATAAAAAAATAAAAATAAATTCAGATACCCACTTGTTGTTATGGAGAGAAATAGACACAACCCCAATCGCCCACTTAACAATGAACACAACTGCCGAGAAAGCAACACACACATTCAAGGGTGGCAAGCAAAATAAATAAATAAATAATAAAATAAAACCTGGATGTTTATTATTAGTGGGGAATAAACAGAAACAAAGAAGACCAAGAAGAGAGAAAAGACTCAAAAATTATCCGAGTCTCTCCAAGGTGAGTGGCTGAGCAATTTTTTTTTTTTTGCAGAGTTTCTGCACCTCAGTGAGTTTAAGAGGGGTGGACTTCAACTCCCAGCTGGCTGGGGAATTCTGGGAGTTGAAGTCCACCCCTCTTAAACTCACTGAGGTTGAGTCACACTGACCCAGCAGTTATTCTGTTTAAGGCCGAACCATTCAAACCAGCCTTGTGAGTATGACACAACCCACCAAGAACGCAACTCATTGTCTACAAAAGCAGAAACAATTGTGAAGAATCACTGGCTGAGCGCTCTGGTAACAAGAGGCTTTGTTCGGCCCGGTCACGCTATCAGCCTCTCTGCCCTCTGCAGATCCGGCTGTCGGCCCAGATTTAAGTCGGATCCACCCACGGAGATTGCGAATTCGAATCCCACCAACAAAAGGAGGAAGAGGAAAAAAAAATCACATTATTGTGGCTTTCTCCCAGCTGGTTATATTATCTTTTTTTGAAGAGAGGAAGGAAAGGATTGGAAAAACGAAGGTTTTGTGGCTTTTTCACAGAAAGCCAAGCTAACCTCAACCTCCTGTCAGATCACAACATCCTTTTTTTATTATAGCGGAACGCTCAATCTCCAATTCAGGGTTTTGCTGTCTTTTTGTGATTATTTATAAAGCTGTCTCAAATCAGAGCTCTGCAATTGGAGGTGCCAGATCTTCCTTTTCAAAGGATGAAAATATGGACAAGGAACGAAGCACGGAAGGAAGGTGCAAAAAAGAGTGCCAGGATACGGGGAGAAATTGCTAATAAAGCCACTCTTTGCAAGGAAAAAAATTGCAATTATTACAGAAAAGAATGGAATGCCTCTTTTTTTTAAAAAAAAACGAAATTAGGGCTTCCTTTTTTGACGGCGAGACGGGCCGCCGATCGATTTAATGAATTAAAATGAATAAAAGCCGCCTTTAAAAAATGCAGGGGGAGTTGCGATACGATTGCGAGGGAGAACGGATTGAATATTTCTGATTTTTTTATTTTTTTGCCCGTGATGATTCAGCACCTGCAGGAGGCCGCTGGTGTTTATTCCATGCAGTCTTTCCATTCAATCCCCTTGTTAGAAAATAATAATAATAATAATAATAATAATAATAATAATAATAATAATAATAATAATAATAATAATAAACAGTTTATCGCAACACATTAAGAGGTTGGAGGCCCCTGAAATCCCACGATAATCACAGATGTTGTCAGATTTGGGCTTTTTTTTTTTATTTGCCTTGTATTCAAACGGTCAAAAAGCAGCTTAATTTGCAGCGAGGCTTCTGTTCCGGATTGTAATTGTGGAATAGCCATTTCCCACGAGGTCTGTGGCTTCCCCCCCCCACCAGACCTCCGAGAACGACACGGCGGCACTCTGCACGATCCCAGGAGCATCTTTAGATACTTTAAAAGGAGCATTCCTGTTTTATTCTGCCTCCCAAGCCTGCCATTTTCAATCAAGGCTATTTTTTAAGACGGGTGGATTTCAATTCCCATAATTGCTGGCTGGGGAATTCTGGGAGTTGAAGTCCACCCCGAGCACCAATAAAATATGGCTTCTCTGCTCTCCCACTTCCTCTCCAATCGCCAATTTGGTGCCATCCAGATGTTAAAAGCTGTCATTCCCAGCTAATTTGCCCCCCCTCTACTTTTCCCTGCACTTATTATTTTTATTTTTTTTTCTGCAGCACCCCTCTACCCATCACCCACTCCCCAGCCACTCCCACTAATGCTCCTTCATCCCTTTTGAAATTCTAGTTTTTTTTTCTTTTTGGCATCCTTAAAGGAGCACTCTCACCTAGCAGGAGGGGGGGGGGGTATTGAGAAGCCCAAACAGGACGGATGTCATCCCACCCATCCACCCAACACCCAGGAAAATAAACAGACAAACAACTGCATCCACCACAAAGGGTGCGTGGAAAACCATAGCCCTGGGGGAAAGAAAAAAAAAAAAAAGGGGGGGGGTTGATATTTTTAGCATCCTCCATCTGCCCATTTGCAAAATCTAAAAATACTCCAAAAGGGGAGGATGCGACTGTCTTAAAGAGGCACCACCCCAAAATTAAAATAATAATAAAAAAATCACCTCTTGGTGCCCCTTCCTTTCACATCAGTTTTTTTGGCAGCTCGAAACAGAGGTCTTATTGCAAATGTATATACTCCCCCCCCCAAATTTTCACCATTTGCCATTGGGGGGGGGGGGAAGAAAAGACATTTTTACAGCCCCCCCCAAATAACACACCCACTTCCCACCTGTATGCAAAATAGGGCGGGGGAAGTAAATACTGCTTTTTTTTTTCCTGCTTTTGATTCTCTCCACCCTTTTGGGGGGGGGTGTTGCTGGGCAGGTCCCGATGAGCAAATGAGAGCCAGATGACCTTCCATATATAAATGCATGCATGCATGCATGCATGTATACACATGTGTCTTAAAACGGGAGGGGTGCAATTAAATTGCATGGCTCCACCCTAGATCAAAGGCGGGAGGTGGAGGGGGCCTCTAAAAACCTTAAACGCAAAAATAAGACATTTTGCATTCAAAAGGCAGCATCGCCTTTCCCCCCCCCCGCTCCCCTTTCTAGCCCCCGCCTCTTTTTGCACGTTTGCAAAAGGGAACAAGGAGCGTGCAAGATGACCTCATTGATTCCTGGGAAGGAATAAATAATGTTTTTTTAAAAAATGCAATAGTACCTGTAGGGTTTTTTTTCTTTTCTTCACCCCAGGCGGGTGGGGGGCGTTGGAGAGGGTCATCTCTCCAGTTTTCGAGATTCTTTTTTGGGGGGGAAGGGGTGTTTAAAAGAACCCTCCATTTTAGGGGTGCAGCTGTTTATTCATTGGGGGCGCCCGTTTTTTGCGACGGCGATCCGGCGGGAGGGGGAAAGAGAGCGCTTAAAGCCATGTCCCCCCCTTGTGTTTTTTCTTTGGGGAGGGGGTGCATGAAGGCAGCAGCAGCCCCCCCTTAGATCCAAACCCCTCCCGCTTTCATCACCCTAGATTATTGGATGGGGGGGGAAACAAGAGAGCAAGAAGGAGGCAGCAAATTGCATCCAAAAAAAGGGGGGCAGCAAGGTTGCTTTATGTATTTATCTCTCGCTAGCCCCCTCCCCATTCACGCCCTTCACCAAAAGCCCCCCCCGCAGGCCAAAAACAGAAAAATGCGTGGGAGGGAGAGCCGCTCGCCTATGCACCTAGTCCAATGCAAGCCGGGCAGCCGTGCACGCCGTTGGTCTCCTTGCAACGACCCTTCTCCGTTTAGGAAAAAAACACACACACAAAAAAAACCCACGCGACTCTCCCCTCCACCATTGCGGGTGGGCGGCTGAGCCGCGCGGCGGAGAGAATCCCCCGCGCTCTTGCGTGCACCTGCCGTTATGCAAGCCGGGGAGCATTGCACGCCGGCGCCCGCCTTGCATCGGGCGCTACTTACATCTCGGAGGACGCTGGCTGTGGCTGGCGGGCGGACAGTGGCGGCGGCGGCGGCGAGGCTCGCGCTCCCCGAATGAAGCTGCTCGCTTCGGCAGAGGCAGCAAAATGGCGGCCGAGCTGTCACATCCGGGTATTTCAGAGAGGGGCGGGGGAAGGAGAGGAGGAGGAGGGAGAAGGAGGAGGCCGCCATCTTGGTGGGGCTCCTTCTCACTCCTTTTCTGAGGGGAGAAACAAAGGAAAAACACCCTAAAATTTCCATAAAATCTACTCCAAACGTGGCAGCAGCCTCCCAAGTGGAGGGGGGGGGGGAGAAAAAAAAAAACCGTCATTGTCTGAAATGGTATAGGTTCTCCTGCTTGAGCAGGGGGCTGGACTAGAAGACCTCCCAGGTCCCTTCCAGCTCTATTCTCATTGATTCATTCATTGAAATGGTATAAGTTCTCCTGCTTGAGCAGGGGGCTGGACTAGAAGACCTCCAAGGTCCCTTCCAACTCTATTCTTATTAATTGAAATGATATAGGTTCTCCTGCTTGAGCAGGGGGCTGGACTAGAAGACCTCCAAGGTCCCTTCTAGCTCTATTCTGATTGATTCATTGATTGATTAATCGAAATGGTATAGTTTCTCCTGCTTGAGTAGGGGGCTGGACTAGAAGATCTCCAAGGTCCCTTCCAGCTCTATTCTATTCTAAAAGGGGATCACACAACCCTGGGATATTGCAACCATCATAAATATGAATCAGTTGCCAAGCAACCTATTTTGATTATGTGATCAGCAGGATGCCGGGAGAAACAGTCATAAGTCACTTGTTTCAGCAGTCGTAACTCCGAGCAGTGACTAAACGAACGGGCTGTAAGTCAAGGACTACATTAATTCCTATTTCTTGTTTTATCCTTTCTGTTGTTAATTGAAACATCGTGCCAAGGCCCCGATGCCAATCCAGGCAATTTCCATTTTCACCGTGTCTTGGAACATGAGCGGAACTTCCAGAAATAGATATCGGGAGAAAAGTCAAAAAGCAGCTAAATCTGGAAGAAAGGTTTTATTAAAATTACAACAGTTCCCTAGAAAATATATATACACAGAGATCGGGCAATACCGTTTGGGAAATAGTTGGCTTATTCCTTTAAAAAACAAAAACAAAGAACCAAGAAGCTGGCCAGCACACGGTGACAGATGCAGGATGATCCCGAAGGAAGGGATCAGCCGCCAAGATCAGAACGTCAAAAGGGGATTTTCCCATGTCCAGGAATAGCTGCCCGTCCAGGTGAAGGTGGCCAAACACATTTATTTCCCAAGCTCTCCGAAACGAGATCCTGGTCTGTTATCAGCTCTTCAAGTACGAATCTTGGGGCGCAAGGACGTTTGCAATCCCGAAAAGACGTCCCTATCCCAAACTCTGCAATAATGCCCCCCCTCCAAAATCCTTGGCAGCCCCATCCATTGGGGATGCCGTTCATCTGGGTATCCCAGTCCCTCCTGGCAGAGTTAATTTGGGGACACCGGGTTGAAAACCGGGGGTAGCACCCGTTTGGAGTGGGTTTTCACCCAAGGGTGCTCCATCACGGCTTGCAGCGGGAGACGTTCGGCTGGGTTGTGACGCAGCAGCTTCACGATCAAATCCCGGGCGCCTTCGGTCACAAAAGGGGGGAACCTGAGATCGACCTGCAAGGAACGGAAGCGGCGCTAAAGTGAGCACACAGCTAAAACAGCAAGGCATGGAGAAGTTATTGAGGCCGACAAACCTTGTTTTAGGCATAGCAAGTAGGCTGGAAAGCCAGGCATCGTGGTTAGTTCAAGAGCAGAACATTTATTAAAATTTAAAGAGAGCCCATTTGGTGTTATGGGAAAGAGGACGGTCTAGAAACCAATTTCAATCCTACCTCAGTCAGCAAAGCCTCGTCTTGAACGTCCCAAGAGGCAACTGGACTGTTTTTCCTTGAAGACATTTCGCTTCTCATCCCAGAAGCTTCTTCGGTTCAGTTCATTTAAGTCAGAAGCGAAGAAGCTTCTGGGATGAGAAGCGAAACATCTTCAAGGAAAAGCAAAAGTCCAATTGCCTCTTTGGCAAAAAAAAGCACCTTTGGGACAACCGTGTCCTGGTGGCCCAGAGGGAAAGGGAGGAGCAGGGAAATGTGCGTGCCCGCGCAGACGGGTGCATGCGCAAATGGACTGCTAGCGCTCGTACGGGAGTGCTAGCGCTCGTATGGCGGTGCTAGCGCAAGTGGGGTTTGTGTGCGGCCACATGCATGCACTCACCCAATGGCCAACAGGCCATGGCCTGGTACGGCCCGCAGCCCAAAACTTGGGGACCCCTGACCTGGAGGACTGAGGATCTCCATAGACCCTTTATCTTGAACTAAGCTAGTCTCGGGCAGATCCTCCTGCGTGATACCAGCCGGGCTCACCGACACGATCCGGCGATAGGTCTCGGAGTGGCATTCGCTCTCGAAGGGCGGATTCCCCACCAGGAACTCGTAGCACAGGATCCCGATGCACCAGAGATCCACCTTCTCGTTGTGGGGTTTGCCTTCGATCATCTCCGGGGGCAGGTAATCCAGAGTGCCACACATGGTCTTCCTCCTGAGGAGCAATGGGGGGGGGGGAGGGAGAAAGAGGGGCTTAAGTAAAGCGATCCCCGAGAAAGCCCAGAGGAAGCATTGGACCCTCCAAATCGCCCACCCTGGACTTCTGGTTTCCCGCCGCGGCCGCCGCGGATGCTCAGAAGGCGAGCTGTGTCTTCCACATCCGATTTCTCTTCAAATCGCCCACTCTGGACTTCCGGTTTGCCGTCGCAGCCGCTGCGGATGCTCAGAAGGCGAGCTGCGTCTTCCACGTCCAATTTCTCTTCAAATCGCCCACCCTGGACTTCCGGTTTGCCACCGCAGCCGCCGTGGATGCTCAGAAGGCGAGCTGCGTCTTCCACGTCCGATTTCTCTTTGAATCGCCCACCCTGGGGGGGGGGGTCCGCCGACTCACCTGAGCGAGGGGGCGTGCACCGACCAGCCGAAATCGGCGATCTTCAGCTCCCCTTTTAGCCCCATCAGCAGATTCTCGGGCTTGATGTCGCGATGGATGACCTTCTTGTTGTGACAGTACAGGAGGGCGTCGGCCAGCTCTTCTATGAACTGCAGAGATGGGCAAAGGGGGGGCGGAGTTGTTGGCGATGCCACCCTCTCCGAGAGGCCCGAAGCAGCCCAGCTGCCCCTTCGGTGCACGAAGGAAGGGGAAGAGACTGGCCCGAACCCACAGGCTCAATAGAAAATAAAATAAATTATTGTGGGGGTCCCCGGTGCTCTCTGAGCTGGGGGGGGGGGTTTGCCTTGCAGACGTTTCATGACCCAGCTAGGGAACATCATCAGTGCTAGAAGGGAGGGGGGTTGTGAAGAGGAGGAGGAGGCAGAGGAGGAGGACTGATGGATCCTTGATTTCCTTGCAGACGTTTCATGACCCAACTAAGTAACATCACCAGTGCTAGAAGGAAGTGGGGTTTGCAGAATGGAGGGCGGAGGGAGGAGAGGAGGAGGAGAGGAACAGAAAAAGGAGGACTGTGGGGCCCTTGGCGTTCTCCTTGCAGACATTTCATGACCCAACTAGGTAACACCATCAGTGCTAGGAGGGAGGGGGGGTTTGCTGTCTCTTTATGGGAGCATTCCTGGTGTTGCCTTGATTAGGTTGTTATTTAATGTTAGCATGTTTGAGTTGATTATTCCTTGATTGGAGAATTGCTTGATCGTTGGTCCAGTATTTAACCTTGGTGTTAATCTCTTGCTTATCTAGGGATTGATTGCTGGCAAGGTTTTGTGGTCTTTTGTCTTTGTCTCTTTTACACGGTATGTATATATTGGTTTATCTCCATGTGCCTGTTGATGGCTGACTTGTCAGAGAGCCCGGTTTCCAGGAATTCTCTCCCATTCTTGGACTTGGCTTGCTCACCAACCCCACGTTGAAACTATGGCGAAGTCTATCCACTTAACAAATGCCTAATTAAGGCACCTCCAAGATCACTTCCCCCCCCCTAAACAATGGCAGGGCAAGCTACTACACCAGGGGTCTTCAAACGCCCTTTTTAAGTCTTGTGCACTTCAAGCCATGCCTGGCTGAGGAATTCTGGGAGTTGAAGTCCACAAGCCATCAAAGGGCCACGTTGGAAGACCCCTGGACTATACAGTATATCAATAAGGAAGAAACCCCACACTCCCTCACACTGATGATGTTACCCATTGGGGTCATGCAACGTCTCCAAAAAAACTACCAAGCTCAGAGGGAGCCTCAAGGACAACCCCCCAGTCCAGCCCTGAGCTATAAAGATTCCCTTCTCAATAAATTACAAAAGACAGACCCATCGGTTAACCGAAGTTGGGGTGCATCAAAACAGGAGACCCCCAAACCTCCCACTGTTTCTCATCAGAGGACACAACCCCAACCCCCCATCCAAGTGTCCAGTCCTCAAGAGCGCGGCTAACCGTGGCACTTCTCTGCTCGTCGAAGCGCTGGTACTTCTGCAACTCCTTGTAGAGTTCCCCCCGAGGGGCGTATTCTAGGATCAGATAGACCCGCTTCTTGTCGTGGAAGTAGTTGTAGAGGCGCAGGATGTTGGGGTGACTGCAGGGAAGGGGAGACACGTTAAATCAGAGGTCCCATAAAGTTCGGGCACCAGGGACCGGTTCCGTGGAGAGAGGGCGTGGTTTTGTATCCTGCCGGCATCCCGCCGATGGGGCTTTGCTTGTTTGTGAAGCCCGGTTGCTGACATGCCGCAGCCCAATACCGGTCCACCAATTGCGGGTTGGAGACCCCTATGTTAAATGGCAACCCCAATAATTAAAACAAACAAACAGAAATAGAAAATGGAATGGAATAGAATAGAAAATAGAATAGATTATAGAAGAATAGAATAGAATATAGAATAATATAGAATATTTGTTTTCTGAGGTTTTCGCGGGTATTTGTATGTAGGTCTTTGATTATTCGGGTTTTCTCCCGCGTAAAATTGGAAGTGTCTTGGCGACGTTTCAACGAAGTCCCATTCGTCATCTTCATGCTGGTGCTTTCAGCTTCGTGCTTCGAGGAGCAATGTGTGGTCTTAGCTGTTTCTTCCTTTTAACTGCCAGTGGGGGGTATGAACTGATTGGGTGGGAGCTTGGCTGTGTTCTGATTGGGTGGAGGTGTGTTCTGATTGGTTAGGGGCTTGGCTGTGCTCTGATTGGCTGGGGGGTTGGCTGTGCTCTGATTGGCTGCGGGAGTGTCCTGTTTGGGTGGGGGCTTTGTTGTGCTCAGGTTAGTCTGAGTTGCAGGGGGATTTAAGATGGTGGGCTGCCTTGCTATTTTTTGGCTTCGCGTTCGTGGTCGTGCCTCATCTTCATGGTGGGTGTCAGTTTGCTTCATAATATAGAATAGAATATAGAATAATATAGAATACAAAATAATATACAATAGAATAGAGAATAGAGAGAACAGAAGCTGGAAGGGACCTTGGAGGTCTTCTAGTCCAGCCCCTTTGGAGAATAATTTCTTACGCGCGCACACGCACACAAATCTTTGTGGCAGCCCCTCAAATACTGGAAGACTGCTATCCTGTCTCCCCCCCCCCCTTTTCTCTAGACTGGCCGTACTCAATTCTTGCAACCGTTCTTCGTATGTTTTACGGGGATAAGTCACGGGGTTTTTTTTCCCAGTGCCGCAGTAACTTCGGTCACCAAGCAAACTGCCGTTAAGTCGAGGGCCACCTGGACGTAGATTTATTTATTATAAATCTATAATTACACATTAATATAATTTACGTCTTAGCAGGTAAAGACAGCCAAGCTTGGCACGCGTGGGAAGGAGGCGGTTGCTAAACGGTTGTTAAAATCGTGGACGTCGCCGTTAAGCCGCCAAAGGCCGGGCCCCGCTCCCGGCCCCGACTCCACGCCACCCCCTTGCAGGTGGGCCCAGGTGTGGACTTACCTGAGGTGACACTGGATCTCAATCTCCCTCCTCAGCTGGTACTCCACCCCTTCCTTCTCCATCTGGGATTTGAAGAGCACCTTCAGCGCCACAATGAACTTGGAGTCCTTTTCCCGGGCCAGATAGACGTTGCCAAATTTCCCTTTGCCCAGCGGCCGCCCGATCTCAAAGTCGTCAATGGTGAAGATCCGCCGTGGCCTGGCGTGGACATGGGGCAGGAGAGGGTCAAGGTGGGAGGAGCGCCCCACCCAGGTGGGATTTCAAACGCCCACTCCTCTTTTTTTGGGGGGGGGCAAACCTCTGGGGGATGGGGGGGAAATACTCACTCTGGGCAGTCCTGCAAGGTTGGCACGACGGAAGCGGGGTCAATGGGCACGCGGCCTGGGATACCTGCAGAGCCGGAAAGCGGAATCAGAACACAGTCCTTGAGGCACGAGCAGGTTGTCTCCAGAGCAGAATTGCGGCAGGCAGACGAGGCGTTTGGTTAAGGCACTCGATTTTACGACCGTACGACTTAAAGTGAGAATAGAACAGAATGGAATAGAATGGAATAATAAAACACAGGATAGGGATAGGGACAGGGATATGGAATGAGAACAGAACAGAAATAGCAATAGGAATTAAGAATAGAATGGAATATGGAATATAATACAATAGAATAAGAAATAGAAGGGAATGGCGAATAGAATGGAATAGAAATAAGGAATGAATAGAATAGAATAGAATAGAAATAGGGAAGGATAGGATAGAATAAGAATAATTAGAATACGAAATAGGAATATGAATAGAATAGAAATAAGGAATGAATAGAATAGAGAATAGGGATAGAATAGGAATAGGTAAGGATAGGATAGAATAAGAATAATTAGAATACGAAATATGAATATGAATAGAATAGAATACGGAATAGGAATAGAAAGGAAAGAATAGGAATAAGAATAGGAATAGACTTTAGAGGCAGGACAAGAAGCAACGGATGGAAACCAATCAAGGAGAGAAGCAACCTAGAACTAAGGAGAAACTTCCTGACAGTCAGAACAATTAGCTAGTGGAACCACCTGCCTCCAGAAGCGGTGAATGCTCCAACACTGGAAGTTTTTAAGAAGAGACTGGACAGCCATTTGTCTGAAACGGTATAGGGTTTCCTGCCTGAGCAGGAGGTTGGATTAGATGACCTCCAAGGTCCCTTTCGACTTTATTATTTATTATTTTTATTTTTATTATTATATAGATTTAAAATCAGAGATATGCCTATTGGGCATGTTACCAGAAAACTATAATAAGCTTTACATATATTAAGAGCAGGTAGGATAGTATATGCAGAACATTAGAAAAAATGAAGAAACCCCTAGAGGGAAATATAATTCAAAAAATACTGGAGTGCGCAGAAATGGTTAGGTTAACATTAAAAATCAAAGAAAAAGAAGAAACTGAAGACTATATGACCTGGGAGCTGTTTTACCAATGGTTAGCTGACAGAAACAGAGGTTAGAAAAGTTGGAAATATGAGAAAATGTGGATTACGTGAGGAAGATCTATAGTGGATTAGTAAATGTTTTGATTGTTATACCATTAAGGTCAATGCGGACAATACTATTTTTAACAATATGATTGCTATTTCCTAGTTAGTATATGATTGTATTTTGATAAGATTACGATGAATGTGATGATTATTATATTCTAATATTTTTATACATAGACAACACATTGTTCAGTACAGAAATGGATTTTTTGATATAATAATAATAATAATAATAATACGATGATCGATAATAATAATAATAATAATATAATAATAATAATAATAATAATAATAATAATAATAATAATAATAATAGTAGTAGTAGTAGTAATATGCAACAATGGTGCATTGGAAGATCTGCAAGAAATATCATTTGCCTGTAACCAAGAACTGGTGGGATCATAGAAAAAGACAAGCGCCTGCAACATAACACCCCGGATTTAACAATTGTCGATAAGAAAGAAAAAAAAAGTCTGGATAGTGGACATGGCAGTGACTGGAGACAGCAGAATAGACAAGAAAGAAATGGAGAAGATCACAAAATACACAGACCTAAAAATAGAAAGACTGTGGCAAAAGCAAGCAAGGGTAGTACCAATAGTCATAGGATCCTTGGGTGCAATCCCAAAACATCTGGAGCACCACTTGGACACCAACATCGGCATTGACAAATTCGCTATTAGTCAATTGCAAAAGGCGGCCTTACTAGGAACTGCTTCCATCCTGCGACGATATCTGTAATACCATCAAACATCCACATCTGCCTATCCCAGGTCCTGGGTAAGGACTCGATAGGTCGACAAAAATGCCAAGTCCAGTCTGAACATCTAGCTGACTGTGCGATGATCAATAATAATAATAATAATAATAATAATAAACACCTTCTGAAGACGTTGGATCACCTGCAAAGATGAGACAAAGATCCCCCAGATCTTACCTGGATTCTGGACGCAGGCCGCCTTCATGGCGTGCTTTGCGCTGTTGGTGAGGGCCCTCTGAGCCAGGATTGAGCCAGAGGGGGTGGTGGAAGGGGTGCTGCTATTCTTGTACGGGAGGCGCTGAGGACCAGCTGCTTGGCTGTTGGGGCGATACTGCAGGAAAAGAGACCACCGATTGATAAACCAGCATTTTGGTTTGGAAACGCAAGGCCCACTGTGGTGGCATTAAGAAAAAAAGTCCCAAAGGTGTTTTTTTTTTTTTTCCAGGACTGGACTTTGTTGTTTTTCTCTTTGAAGACGTTTCACTTCTTATCCCAGAAGCTTCTTCAACTCTGGATGGTGGGGAATGGAAGGATTTATACTCCTTGCAGACAGCTGGCCATTTGCCTTCTTTTAGAGAGTTGTAGAGGCCACCTGGAGGTTTACCTGTAAGATCTTTACCTGCGCCTGTGTGAACCGCTCAGGGGGCCCTGAGGACACAGACAAACCTCCAAGCAACTAAATTTCATTTTTAATGTATGCCGTTGTGCCTACAGGGGGAGGGGGGGGGAAATGACAATAAAGGTCCTCTAATCTAATCTAAAATCCAGCTTCCCTCATTGACTTTACTTGTGGGAAGGTCACACGTGGGGAATCACATGATCCCGGGATGCTGCAACCGTCACAAATACACACCAGTTGCCAAGTGCCCAAATTTTGACCGTGTGACCACGGGGATACTGCGATGGTCGTAAGCACGAGGATTGATCATAAGTCAGGGATTTTTTTATAGTGCCGTTGTGACTTCAAACGGCCACTACACAAACAGTTTTAAGTCAAGGACTACCTGGCCTGTGTTATCTATACGGGCATTCGGTATTTTATTTAATTTAAATATTTTATTGGCTTTTAACAATAACAGTCGCCAGTGTCTGGTGTACAGCGTGTTGTCTTGGTTTATATATTTGAGGTTGGGGGGGGGGAAGCAATCATAATGAATTAACAGTCAATAATGATTAAATTTGATAATTCCATAATTAGTACATTAATATATTTCCCTTTTCCCATTTGTATTCTCCTTCTTCCACCTTAAACAAATAGAATCTTAACATTTTCAATATATGATTATAGACATTTTTTTCATGTTTGTACAGATCACGGTAACATTTATGCATAACATTTTTTTTTAATCAGTTTATATTATTCTTACAAGCTTCATCTCCTTGGTTCACCAAGCATCCTATTTTCGTGATTTTTGTTTAAGCTTCATTTCTCCTTTTATTCGACCCATTCTTATCAGTCATGATTTTCTGTGTGTTAGCCATCTAGATATCCAAATTAGGGACACCATCCCAATTTTTCATGTCTCATGTTATTATTAAAAATACTGTGCTTCTTGTCTATCTTATAACATCTGGGTAAAACATCCTTTCTAAGAGCTTCAGTATTATTTATTCTCCAATAGAGGTAAGTCCTCAACTTACAAACGGTCGTTCCAAGTTATGACAGACACTTAAAAGGTACTTATGCCCCCCCAAATTCCAACAGACTCCATTTTGGAGCTGTTTACGGTGTCCAACAGTCACGCAACGACAACGCAACAACATTTTCGCCCCAAACCCACATTTGCTTTTGATTTTCAGGAAAGGACCAGAAAAAAACCGCCCAATAGCAAACAATGCATTTGCTGAAGGACCACCTCAAAAAAAGACCCTAAAGTCAGGTCAGGTCATATAACGACCCATTTTACAACCTTACTTGCAGGCTCCATCCGGTTGTAAGCTGAGGACGTCTTATATCAACTACACAAAGTTAATTTCAAATAAGAATGAGATGTTAATTTTTATTTTAGAAAAGAGGGCATATCAAGCTACAACGGAATCCGGGATTCCCGCTCTACACAGTTGCCACGTTGAGGACAACTCGAATAGATCTATTATGGAATTCGGGATTTGCACTGTGGATCATTTCTTTGAAACGCAGGAAAACTTACCGAAGAAAGGCTACTGTAGATGCTGCTGATATTTTCCTTGTTTGCCATCCTGGGTGCCGATCAAACGCTTCCTTTGCTCATGGGCGGGTCAGCAATGCTAGAGAGGGGAGGTATAAATATAGGAGGAATAGCCAAGGCAGAAATAAAGCCAGCTCCGGGATCCAGAAGATGAGGATAAATCTTCTATTGGGTAAGAGAGATCGGCTTCCAACACTAAAGACTGAATTACAAAACAACAACAACAAAATAACCAGGTAAATTCTGGGAAATAAATGTAGCAATCAATAGGAAAAAAACAGAGAGGGAGTTGATCTTTATGATCTTTAAAACTTTCCCAGTGAAGACAACAGCCGCTCAAGATTGAGACCTTGTAGAAACAGAGTAGAATAGAAATAATTAGAATAGAATTCAGAATTAGAATAGAATGGAATAGAACGGTAAAATACAGAATAGAATAGAATTCAGAAGAGAAGAGAATGGTAAAATACAGAATAGAATAGAATAGAATAATAAAATTCAGAATTAAAATAGAATGGAATAGAATAGTAAAATACAGAATAGAATAGAATAATAAAATTCAGAATAGAATAGAATTCAGAATAGAATGGAATAGAATAGTAAAATACAGAATAGAATCTATAGAAATAAAAATGTAAATGTTCGTTTGTTCAAAATCTTAAATCTCCAAAAGTTCTTCACCGATTGCTTTGAAATTTTGACACAACGTTGCATTTGAATACGCGCGTGTTTTTATATACCTATATTCTATAGATGTCACACCTGTGACAGGTAAAAACATGCTTTTTTGAAAAACAGCGCCATCTGTTGGACGTAAAAGCAACACACGCTACGATTTCAAACAATCTCTATATCTGCACAGACAATGGAACAACAAAAAATATTGTATACCCACAAGAATTGTGAAATTAAACATATTACAAACGTGCGCTTTCTCTTTTCTTTCTTTTCCATTTAACCAGACTGAGCCACAGCAACGCCGGGAACAGCTAGTACAATAATAAAATACAGAATAGAATAGAATAGAATGGAAAGGAATAGAATAGAATAGTAAAATACAGAATAGAATAGAATAATAAAATAGAAAATAGAAAATACAGAATAGAATAGAATAATAAAATACAGAATAGAATTCAGAATAGAATAGAATGGAATAGAATAGTGTTAGAAGTAAAGTCTTCATCCTGGTTCATCCAAGCCGGGAATAAATAAGCAAACATGGTGACTGCTTTGGGAAGAAGGTTACAGTTTATTGCAGAGAGATGGTTCTTCAGGAAAGTGCAGAGGAGAGAAGAAGGGCTGAGCACATGGTGTAGTAGGCTTTTATACCCCCTCTAGCCTTTTGTTTGGAATAGTTTCCTGTTCCTGTGGCATGAACCTTGAGGCTGTTTCTGAGTGTTTGTCTAGGCGACCCAGGGACCGTGCAACCATCATAAGTATGAGTCAGTTGCCAAGTGTTTGAATTTTGATCATGGGATCTCGGGGATGCTGCCACGGTCGTTAAGTGTGAAAACTAGCCACAAGTCCCTTTTTTGAGTGCCAAGTTCGAGCAGTCATTAACAAAATGTCGTTAAGTCGAGGACTGCCTCGTTTAAAAACCATCCCAGCATCCCTATAACCACGGGATCAAATTTCAGGGGCTTGGCATGTACTTATGACCCTTATGGCACGTATTTATCGCCATTCGCGACTTTCCCAGCTGAGTTCCGACAACGGGGGAAGCTGTACTCGCTTAACGACTGTGTAATTGATGTCCGGGGGGGGGGCGGGATACAATTGGGACATGCTGTATGAATGCACTTATTTTTATTGTTATATTTATTGCTTTAATTTTGTACGCCTCCCTGAGTCCCTAGGGATTGGGCGGCATATAAATTTTATTAATAAATAAATAATTCGCTTAAGGACGGCAGCAGTTCAGTCACAAAGAGATCAAGTCAGGTGCAACTGCCCTGACATCCGCCTTCTTTGCCTAGCAACGGGAAATCTGCCTTCCCCCAATTGTGACTGTAAATCGAGGACTCCCTGCAAATTGGATACAGGTGCAAGGCACTTGCTCAAAGGGCACACACACACACACACAGCACAAATTGGCACTCGTGGGCACAACGGATCTTGGTGTGCACCACCGCACACAGAGGGAGCTGCTTGGCAACTTTTCCATGTCCTTCTTTAGAAATCATTAAATTTATCCCAGGGGAGTCCAAACCGTGGGAACTTTTTAAGACTTGTGGACTTCAACTCCCAGAATTCCCCAGCCAGCATGGCTGGCTGGGGAATTCTGGGAGTTGAAGTCCACAAGTCTTAAAAAGTCCCCACGGTTTGGACTCCCGTCTTCTAGGGAGGAATTATCCGTTTCCAGAGATTCCCCCCCCACCCAGGCCAGCCAGATCCCCTTCCCGCATAGCCGATGGTGGATGATGGGATTGGTAGTCCAGTGCATTTGAAGGGAGGGCTGCTGGCAAGAAGGGGAGGGCGGGGTTGAGCCGCCGCTGCTCCCAGCATGGAATCACCCTCCATACCGGACGCTCCCGGTAGACGTTGGACTACAACCCCCATACTCCAGGGCGAGGCTGATCGGCGCCTGCGCCAGGTTGGGAAAAGACAGGAGGGCGAGGCCGGTTCGCGGGGTTTCTCCGCCGCCCGCCCGCCCGCCTTGCAATCCCCGCATCACTTACCGCTTCCCGGGCCCCGAGAACCGCCGCCGAAGACCCGACGCTCTTCTCTTTTTCAAATCTCCCTTCCGGGATCCTATTGGTTTGCCGCAGCCAGACGTCGCTCGGCGCGCCGCCTCATTGGCGGAGGACAGCACCGCCCCTCTCCCCAGCGCGATGAGTTCCGCTCTTTTTATTGGCCGGTTCCTTGTTAGCCGGCTGAGCTCCGCCTTTCCCATTGGACAATCGTCCCCGACGGAAGGGAGAGGCTTCTACCTCCATCGCTGTTTCGTCAGAGCGGGTGGGATTTGGACCCGTAGCAGAAGTTACGGATTGGCCCAATTTATTATTATTTTTTTTAAGAGTCCCGCCCCGTTTTCTATGACGCGGTGCCCATTTCCACACATCGGCCAATCAGAACGGCAGAAGAAAAATTACCTGGGGAGATAAGTCGGCCATTTTGTAGTGAAAGCACCGTTTTAAAAAGACCGAGGAAAGAAGAGGCGGGGTATACGGAAGGAGCGGGCAAGGCAGCCAATGAGTGACGCGCAGCTCTACAAGGGGCTGTAAATAAAAAGGCGTAATAACCAATCAGAAAAGAGATTGCACACAATTCTTACTGGAGGGGAGGGGCGGAAGGATCATACCCAAATCAGCCATCGCTGGAGAGATTGAGTGGCCGCGGATAATGAGAGTTGTAGTTATCCAGCTACACCGAGTTTAAAGCAACCATTTGGGTTAAGGAAACACGCCGCGTCAAGCTGCGTAGAACGAGAGAAAACACTTCCCCTACCAAATACAGAAACAAACACGAGACTAGCACATTCTCACGACCGCTCTGCTCTTTATAGACACGGAAACTAAAGGACCGCCAGGAAAATCAGAAAGGAGCAAACCGGGGCGTTGCTATTCCCCGGCCGGCGGAGACTCTAATCATCTCTCATGCCTCTCCATTCATCATTTTCTGTTCTCCCGGAGGAGGAACAGGTAAGGATATACCTCACTGACGATACTCGCGCATCTGCGCAGTGGCGACTGCTCCCTGCGGGACAACCGCCTTGGTCATGGTGACCCCCGCGGGCATTGTTTTTTTTCACCGCGCCCCCGCCGTCCTAGCGGGGAGACCCTTCCCGGCCGCCCCGCCCCTCTCCTTTTCCCATAGCATCCCAACCTCTCCCAGTGGCGGCACCGGCCAATTTCCCAGCGATCCATGCGCCACCTAATCTGCATAAGCGTGACATCAGTCCCAAGTTTTAAAAAAAACAAAGCCCTCTTTGGGATCCCTGGATTTGGCTTTTGCTGCAACCCAGTTGCGTGCATCTTATCTTCCAAAAGTGGACAATTGGAAAAGGAGAACGCCAAGCAGGAATGACTGGGAGCTACTGGAACAGCCAAACAACGGCTGGGAGAGATAAAAATCCCACCTGGAATAAAGGGATATAAAGAGATGTCAACCCCACAGGATAATGTATTAATAATCCCCAGCAATGTGATCAAAATTTGCGTGCTTGGCAACCAGGATGTACATTTACAACCATTGCACCGTCCCAGGGTCATCTTCCTGGCCAGCTTCCAACTAGCAAAGTCTGGGGGGGGGAGTGGGATTCATTTAACGACCACATGATTAACTTAATGATTGTGATCTCCTTAACAAGTGATGAATAACATTATAAAATCAGGTGCAATTCCCTTAAACTGCCTCACTTAGCAATGGAGATTCTAAGTCATCAAGGAACACCGCATCAACAGAGGAGTAAAATGCCAAATGACTGTTATGTGTAAAAAAAAAAAAAAACAGACTTTGTGTGAAATCGTTTTGGATGCAACGAGGGACAATGGAATCGAGTTCAGCACTGGATGTTTTATTTTGGGGGGCGGACGGTATCTCCGTCTACTTTTTAATCCTCGCACCGAGCTTTTGCACCGCAACTTCAGGTGGCTGTTTGTGTCATTTTGAAAGGAGAGAAGATCAGCTCCACCCCGATTTAAGTTGTGATGTGGCAAACGAGAAGTTTATAGCAAATACGATAACACCTTCTTAACTGATGCAGGTTTCAGTTTAAAATGGGGGTGTCTGACCTTGGCGATTAGAAGACTTGTGGATTTCTCCCAGAATTCCCCAGCCAATTTGTGGAAGGTTGTTAGGTAGATAGGAAGTTAGTAAGAAGGAAGGAAAGAATAATAATAGAGGGAGAGAAGGAAAATGGGAGGGAGGGAGAGAGGAAGGAAGGAAGGAAAGGGAAGATAAGTAGGTAATCTGGGAAATTCTGGGAATTGAGGTCCATCCATCTTAAAGTCCCAAAGATGCTTTTTCAAGAGGCAACTGGACATTCTTGTTTTGCTTTGAAGACGTTTCGCTTCTCATCCAAGAAGCGGCCATCTGAAAGCTGCCAAGGTTAGTAAATACTACTCTTGATGAAATATAGGATGCCATCACAGATACAATATTAAGAGGTTTCCACAGAAGGAATCTGAGCTCTGCAGAAGATCTAGCTGCTTTTTTGTCCATTGAGGAGTGAGCAAAGATGGAGCTGAAAACCAGGGACAGCTGATAGTCCTACGGGAAGGATATTTGACCTCCATCTCGTCCTCTTTTGGAGTTCGCTCTGCACTGGGATAATCCGAACGAGAGGTCTCGTCTGGACAGAGGCCGTTGCCCTCGTTGTCCTTTTCACAGTGGCTTCTTCTTGAGTCCAAAGACGGAGATGAACAGGAAGATCTCGACAACAGCCGGTAAGGCACTGGGCAGAGGGGGCAAAAAGAGAGGGGAAGGATCAGTACCCCAAGAAAAGTGTCCCTCTTCCTGAATTGGACGAACCCCCAAACCACCGCCAGCAAATTGGCGACCGCGCAGGGACAGGCCTCTACCTGCAAAACCCCATGATGTACCAGTACGTGACCGTCTCCCAGCGCTCAAAGACGAAGAAGGAGAGGCAGACGGAGGCGCTGCAGTGGGCAACCAACGCTAACAGGGCACCGTCAGGGAAATCAATGGAGGGATTTGTGTAAAATGAATTTTAAAAAAGGGATGCTTGCCTAGGAAGAAGGTCCACCAACCTCAGCCGCTCGCACGAAACAACTCCCGGGACATTGTGGAGTGCATTTGGGATGAGGACGGGATGGAGGGACGGGGGCAAAATAAAAGTCTTCAAAAATAGAGATTAGTCACACTGCAAAGGTTAAAGTTGGAATATCCTAAAGGCCTGGTCCAGATAACCTGCTAACCAAAGGTGTGTTTCTGTGCCATGCTGGACCACAATTATTTGACTTAATGGAACTTGTTGTATGAACACAGTCACTGTGGTCATTTTCTGACACTCCCTCTTTTTTGGGGGGGAGGATGGAATATATATGGTTAAATAAATAAATTGTCCAGCTCCTTTGGGCCCCCTCCCACACAGCCCGTCATTTTGCTAGCCTGGGACTCCGGGGATGATCACAGCCAACCTGCAAAACGCAAAGATCCACCAGTATAAGCTGCCATCCCATTGCTCAAACAGGAAGAAGAGCAATGTGACTCCTGCCGAAGCGTGAGCGAGGGTGGCTTGCGAAGAGGAGGAGGCTGGGTCAGGAAGCACAACGACCACGGAAGGCGGACCCACCCACCCTGCTCTGGAGGGACACAGCTGGCGTTGGCGCTTGGCAACAGTGCCACGAACCCATCTGGGTCTGGGGCTCAGCGGCAGGCAGGCAGGCAGGGAGGGAGGAAGGGGAGGGGGAAGGAAGGAGAGGGAAGGGAAAGAAGGAGAGGGAAGGAAGGAAGGAAGGAAGGAAGGAAGGAAGGAAGGAAGGAAGGAAGGAAGGAAGGAAGGAAGGGAATTCTCTCTTCCCACCCCAGTCCACCCCATCTGCTGATCCCCGTTTTCTTTGCGAAGGATACAAAACAGACTTTGCACGTTGTTGAACATGGACACTCCGGACAGGAAGCCAGCCAGCTCCACCACAAACAGCCCAAGGGTTACGGACAACGCCACCACCATCCTAGAAAGAAAAACCCAGCTGAAAGAGACACGCCGAGTATACGAGAAACGCCACCAGCTAAAACTTGCAAAGAGATTAAATTGCCAACACTGTCGCCTAAATTGCGATGGGACCGGGCAAAGCCGACTAATCCTTTTCATATTTAAAACATTTAATATTTTGTTCCCAACCTCTGGTTGTGTTTTTAACCTTGTGCGACCATGCTGACGTGCCTTTGGAAAAATCGGAAAGTGTGAAACGGTGGCTTTTCCGTTTCACAGTTAGGATGTCAAGGATGAAACTTGGGCAGCTACCAGTCCCTGCATTTCAACTTGCCTTTAGATTAAGGGGGCGAGGTTTTACTTTCAAGTGGGTTAAATCAGGGCTTTTCAACCAGTGGTATGGGTATCACCTGTGGTATATTGGCACCTGGCAGGTGGTATGCGACCATCCTAGAAAAGTGGTAGCGGGAGAGGGGAATGGGCTGAACGGGTGGCAGCACCACACAAGCCTGAGCGAGAGACGGCTGGAGCTGCAGGGCTGTCGGGGCTCAGTGGAAGTGCCAGGATCAGTGCTTCTTTGGGACCGTCAGGGCTCAGCGGAAGCGCCAGGATCAGTGCCAGGCTCCAGCTGGAGCTCGGCGCTGATCCTGGTGCTTCTGCTGAGCCCTGAAGAAGCACCAATCAGCTGGAATGTTGCAGCCTCTCCAGGGTCTTTTGATTTATATTCAGATGCTTGGCAACCGATTCATATTTATGACGGTCACAGTGTCCCAGTGTCATGTGAAGTGATCAAAACCTGCTGAAACCACCCAGCAGACAGGGGGGAATAAAAACCAAACACCCCCACCCCATCCCCGCTGCCAATGCTCACAATGATGAAAACCTTGGACAGGAGGAAGAGCGCCGCCAGGCGCTGTCTTGCTCGGCTGTGGCTTGGGGGGCACTTTTTTTGAGTGCCATTGTAACTTCCAACAGTCACTAAGTGAACTGTTGTAAGTGAAGGACTAACCTGTACTTTATCACTTTTTTCCTTTTTGCGGGGGGGTCATCAAGTTTTTGACACCTTGCTAGGCAACTGGTGGTACTCAGATGTTGCCATATCCTAAAAGTGGTACTATGTGTGAAAAAGTTGAAAAGCCCTGGGTTAGACTGGAGAAACAAAACTTCTACAATTCAGCTGAAGAGAGCCTGAATCCTTTTCAAGGGCACCAGGACAGTTGTAGATTTGAAGCGGACGGTTCCCATAACAAAGTGAACTTGTTGATATGGCTGGGGAAATTATTGTTTTAAGTCTATGAATTGGTTTGGGAACCTCAGAGTGAATTTCACTTCGACATAACCATGCCGTGTAGTCAATAAACAGTAAGATTGTCAGAAACGGAACGAACCTGGCATTTTATCTGGATCCTCAAGCTGGATGTTGAAAAGCTTATTTTAAAATGCCAACCGAGGATTAAACATCCTACAGGCCAAAGCAGCGAAATACAACATTACACAGCCGCAGGCAGCTTTAAGCTGTGTGGAGTTCTACTCCCAGCATTGGCTGGGGAATTCTGGGAGTTGAACTCCATGCAGCTTAAAGCAGCCACAAGTTGAGAAGCAATGTCAACCAGCTTATCTTCCTCACTTATCTTCAATTTTACAATTTTTGACGGGCTTCTTAAAATCAAGTAATCTGGGGTTGCTTTTCTCTCTCTTCCCCCCCCTCCCTTTGCGAATTTAAAAAAATCCAGGATTTGGACCCAAAACTGACTCAGATCCTGAGCACGGGGGGGGGGGGGGGGGCTAAGCTTCCCAGGCTGCAATACCCATCCTCCTCAGCCATCAGCCCCGACAGCCGTTGTCGTCAGAGAAATCAAGATTAACTCCGAGAGACGGCGACACGCGTCACCGTTCCGGGATTCTCCCTTTTTAAATACTCTCTCAAAATGTGGGCCTCTCTCAAAGAAAGATTTTTAAATTCAGGCTACACCCTCCCCCCAACTGCAGCAAAGGTAGATTTTAGCAGCAAAATGACTCACTCGGTGTCTCGGTGGTCAAATTCCTCTTGCGTGCACTGAAGAGGGAGAGAAGCGCGGACATTGTTCTCCTGGAGGAAAAAAAAAATAGAATAGAAGGAGGGATAGAGAGAAAGAGAGGGGGGGAAGACTGCAGGCTGAGGGGGGGCTAGGTTCTTTTGGTCGTGCCTTTGAGGGGGTTTTTTAATGGGGCAGCAAAGGCCGGCCTCTCCCCCCCCCCCATTTTCTCAGCCCACTGGAGCATAGAGGTTGGAGGGCTAGGGACCCTGTTTTTCTTTTGGGTGTCCCCCGCAAGATGGTGGGGAGACGGGAGGAAAGGGCAGGAGCTTCTGAAAGCATCCAAGATGGGCTGAAGGGCTGCGGAGCAGTTTTGGACAAAGTAAAAAAGGATCTCCGTTTATCTCTCTATCTCTGTCCATCTATCTAGTATATCTATCTATCTGTCTGTCTGTCTGTCTGTCCGTCTGTCTCTATCGTCTATCCATCCCTCTGTTTATATCTATCCATACACCTATCTGTCTCCACCCATCCATTTATCCATCTCTATCTCTACCCATCCATTTATTTATCCACCTATATATCTGTATCTATCCATCTCTATCCATCCATCCATCCATCCCTATCCATCTATCTATCTATCTATCTATCTAATCCATCCATCCATCCATCTATATCTATTATCTATCCATCTATATCTATCCATATATCTGTCTCCACCCATCCATTTATCCATCTCTAGCTCTACCCATCCGTTTATCTTTCTACCTATATATCTGTATCTATCCATCTCTATCTATCCCTCCATCCCCCCATACAGTTATCCATCCCTATCCATCCATCTATCCATTATCTATCTTATCTATCTATCTATCTATCTATCTTATCTATCTATCTATCTATCTATCTATCTATCTATCTATCTAATTATCTATATCTATCTATCTATCCACCTATCTATCTATCTATCTATCTAATTATCTATATCTATCTATCTATCCATCCCTATCTATCTATCCCTGTATCCCTCTATCTATCTATCCATCTCTATCTATCCCTCTATCTATCTATCCATCCTCTCTCTATCTATCTATCTATCCATCCCTATCTATCTATCCCTCTATCCCTCTATCTATCCATCTATCTATCCCTCTATCTATCTATCCATCCCTATCTATCTATCCCTCTATCTATCTATCTATCTATCTATCTATCTATCTATCTATCCCTCTATCTATCTATCTATCTATCTATCTATCTATCCCTCTATCTATCTATCCATCCATCCCTATCTATCCCTCTATCCCTCTATCTATCTATCCATCTCTATCTATCCATCTATCCATCCCTATCTATCCCTCTATCTATCTATCTATCTATCTATCTATCTATCTATCTATCTATCTATCCATCCATCCATCCATCCATCTCCATCTATCCATCCACCCACCTATCTACCTACCTACCTACCTATCATCTTTACCTCTATATGTAATTACTATCTCACTTTTATTACTTTAGAAATACAGGCTGTCTTCAACTTACAACAGTTTGTTTAGTGACCATTCAAAGTTACAACGGCACTGAAAAAAAGTGACATGACCGTTTTTTCGCAGTGATGACCTTTCCAGCCATCCCCAGGATGATCCGATCAAAATTCAGAGGCCTGGCCACTGGTTCCTATTCATGACCGTGGCCGTGTCCCCCATTTGCGACCTCCTGACAAGTCAATGGGAGAAGCCAGATTCTCTTAACAACCAGGTTACTCACTGATCAACTCCGGCGATTCCCTTAACAAGACAGGTTGTAAACTGGGGCAAAGAACATCCGGAGGGATCGGAGGAAAAAGGAATTAACACTCGGAAGGGGACCCTCACCCTGGACCAGAAGATGGTGATGACGATGACCAGGTGAGCCGTGAGGACCAGGAACCGAGCAGGGATCAGTCCACTGACCGGCGGCATCCTCTCCCTGCCTGCAAAAGAGCAAGGAAGAGAATCCTCAGGGCCCAAGGAAAACGTCTTCCGATACACACAGAATGCAGAAGGGGACCTTGGAGGTCTTCTAGTCCAACCCCCTGCTCAGGCAGGAAACCCCTCTCTCCTTCTCCGAATAACAGAATAACGGAGTTGGAAAACTCACTTAACTCACTGAAGAGCTGCCTGGTTTAACAATGGCAATTTGGAGCTCCACTGCGGTCGTTAAGTCAAGGACCACCTGTACCGGGTTCCGTTTTCTCCACCTCGCAACCTACTTTGTGTGCACCATTCCCCAGACGATCCACCAAGGCGAGGGAGTCCTGGGTTTTATCAGGGCGCACTCAGGATCACCATCTTTGGGGTGCAGAAATCAAGCCACTGATTCCCCCCCCCCAATTTCAGAGATCCAGGGTCTTCTTCTCTTAAGGGTCTTCTTTCTAAACGAGAAAAATCAATGGAAAATTAATATTTTTAGTAATAATAGGAATAAACGCCTCCTTAGCAAATCCACCGGGCATCCTCCTCTGTGGAAGCTGACGGGGAGTGACTTTGGGCCAGGCTTTCAGGGGGGGAAAGGAGGAGAAAGAGAGGGGCGGCTGAAAGCATGAGAGCTCCTGAGACCATCCAAACCCCCCCTCCTTGGAGAGGAGTCCATTTGTGCCAGTTTTCACTCCTCCCATGTCCCTCCAGGTTTTGCAGCAGAAGGCTGCATTCACACGTGTCACTTAACTCGAGTTAAACAGTTTAATGGGGTTTGCACGGGGGGGGGGGAAATGGTTTGTTCAAATCAACCAATCCGGCCGATCTCCCTGATCACGTGACCTCCTCCAAAGCAGCACCCCTCTCGGCACCCAGCTCCATCCCGCGTGTCGTGTGAACGCAGCCCCATTTTTAGACCGTATTTGGCTCTTGGTTCCCGCCACCCCAACTGCTCTCTTGCCCTACTAGGCCTCCAGCAACACCCCGCTCCTCGTACAGCATACCCACCTCCCGCCCGCAGCTTAAGAGAGCTCCCTTGATTTCTCAGGCTTCGGGTCTGGTTGCTAGGCCGCACCGTTGCCGCGGCAACCGCCTAGGCCCAACCTCTTTTCCCTCTCCGGCGACGGGCTTCGCGCAGCCTCGCGATACTTCGAAGGCCTCCTTGTCTCTGGCCGCCATCTTAGCTACGGGCAAATTGCCCATCTCCGCTCGGCTTTCCCTTCTTCTCCGCGGGAAAGAAGCACATTTGCACCCGAAGCGTGGAATCCCCGCAAATACAAAAACAAACAAACAAAAATACCTGGACACAACACACACACACACAATCCCACTTCTAATCTGTGAATCCTCCTGCATCTTTTCAGCCAGGTTTCCCGAAAGCAAAACATTCCCTTATTTGCACAAAAGTAGGAAACTTAAGCAAGCTGCTCGGGCTAAGCCAGAAAGAGAAAGAGAGAAAGAAAGAGAGAGGGAAAGAAAGAAAAAAGAGAGAGGAAGAGAAAAAGAAAAGAGAGAGAGAGAGAGAGAAGAGGCAGAGGGAAAGAGAAAAAAGGGAAGAGAAAGAAAGAAAAGAGGGAGATAGAAAAGAGAAAGAAAGAAAGACAGACAGACAGAAAAAAGAGAAAGAAAGAAAAAGGGGAGAAAGGAAAGGAAAGAGAAACAGAAAAAGGGAAAGGGAAACAAGGAAGGAAAAGAGGGGGAAAAGAAAAGAGAATAAGAAACAAAGAAAAAGGGAAAGGGAACGGGAAAGAAAGAGAAAGAAAGAAAGAGAAGAGGCAGGGAAAGAAAGAAAAAGAAAAAAGGGAAGAGAAAGAAAGAAAAGAGAGGGAGAGATAGAAAAGAAAGAAAGGGAGAAAGACAGAAAAAAGAAAGAGAAAGAAAGAAACAGAAAAAGAGGGAAGGAAAGAAAAAAGGGAAAGGGAAAGAAAGAATAAGAAACAGAAAAAGGGAAGAACGGGAAAGAAAGAAAGAGAAAGAGAGAGAGAAAGAGAAGAGGCAGAGAGAAAGAAAAAAGAGAAGAGAAAGAAAGAAAAGAGGGAGAGATAGAAAAGAGAAAGAAAGAAAGGGAGAAAGACAAAGAAAAAAGAAAGAGAAAGAAAGAAAAAGAGGGGAGAAAGGAAAGAGAAAAAGAGGAGGAAAGAAAAGAAAGAAACAGAAAAAGAGAGGGAAAGAAAGAAAGAGAGAGGGGGGAGACAGGAGGATGGGAGAGAAGAAAGAAAAGAAAGAAAGAGAAAAAGAGAGGGAAAGGGAAGGAAAGAAAGAAAGAAAGAAAGAAAGAAAGAAAGAAAGAAAGAAAGAAAGAAAGAAAGAAAGAAAGAAAGAAAGAAAGAAAGAAAGAAAGAAAATTTCCCGGGCAATTCAGGAGGGCATTTGAAAAACAAGCAATATTATCTGGGGAGTTTTGTTACCTTTTTTTGCAGACTTTCACACGAGAAAGGAAAGGAGGAGGATCCGCTTCGGGAAAAGCGTCCAAAAAGCGGCCAGAGTGAGCTGTGATGGCCGAGTGGTTAAGGCGTTGGACTTGAAATCCAATGGGGGCTCCCCGCGCAGGTTCGAATCCTGCTCACAGCGCGTCCCTTTTGCACGCCTGCCTTTGTCCGCAAATGCGACCACCTTCTCTCTTCTAAGGGGCTTCGACAGGATGGAAATGCTCCAGTCTTACCACCGATGTTTGCACAAGGGGGGGGGGGGAACTAACTAAATAAACAAATAAATCCACCTTTCCCTTTTATCAGTGGTTTGATGCAACTTTGAGGGCGTGGACTTCACTTCTCAGAATGCCCCTGAAAACAAGATAGAAATATATGTTATTTTAGAACAAGTATTGTATATAAAACTTAGATGTATATGTAGAGATGAAGAATTGATTGTAAAAATAATAATCTGATAAGAATGTATATACTGGAATGTCACATTAAATCCAATGTTTGTTTCTAACTGTATTATAAATAATATTTATAATACAGTTATAATTTATTTATTTATTTATATTTTATTTATTTATTTATAAATAAATTTATAATTTATTTATAAATAAAATTTGTAAAAAAAAACAAAAAGAAAACAAGGTCACTTGGGAGTTTTAAGTTTATCCCTCTTAAAAGTTCCCAAGCTTAAAAAAAAAAGAAATATACACACACACACACACACACAAATTAAAAGTAGTTTTAAAGAGTCTTTGCAGACCCAGCATGTTGTAAAATGCAACAGGGGAACCCACTTTGCAAAAATTCCATGAATATATATATATAGGTTTTCGCGGGTGTTTGTATGTAGGTCTTTGGTTGTTCGGGTTTTCTCTCCTGAAGGCAGGACAAGAAGCAACGGATGGAAACTCATCAAGGAGAGAAGCGACCTGGAACTAAGGAGAAACTTCCTGACAGTGAGGACAATTAACCAGTGGAACCACCTGCCACCAGAAGTGGTGAATGCTCCAACACTGGAGGTTTTTAAGAAGAGACTGGACAGCCACTTGTCTGGAATGGCCTAGGGTCTCCTGCTTGAGCAGGGGGCTGGACTAGAAGACCTCCAAGGCCCCTTCCAGCTCTATTCTGATTCTGAATAAACAGGAGACAGAGATTGCAACGCTCCCCAAGCAGGGACCCTCCAGATATTTAAGACTACAACCCCCATCCGCGCCCGTGTGAAAGAGCGAAATTTCCTTGCGGAAGAGCCTGTAGTTCCCCCTCCATCGCCACTTGGGGGCGCTGCCTCCCCTCCATCTTTGCAACTTGTGCTTGGAGAAAGGCAGGAACCGGGAGAAAAAAAAAATGGGATTTTTTTTTTCTTTCCCCAAACAATGTCAGCTTCGGGATTTTTTCTCTCGGGAGCCACGGGAAACAGGTGCAAAAAGCCAAAAAAAGAAAAAGAAGTGGAGATGCCGGGGATTGAACCCGGGGCCTCATACATGCGAAGCATGCGCTCTACCACTGAGCTACATCCCCTGCCCGGCCTGCCATTTGCTTGCTTTGCTATTGATGTGCCTTTGATCTGAATTATGGTGTCTTGAAATTTGGTCTTTTTATGACTTGTGGGCTTCAACTCCCAGAATTCCTCAGCCAACGTGCCTGCCTGAGGAATTATGGGAGTTGAAGTCCGCAAGTCATCAAAGGGCCAAGCAGGGGTCTTCCAACTTGGCCCTTTGATGACTTGCGGACTTCAACTCCCAGAATTCCTCAGTCAGGCATGCTATCTGAGGAATGCTGGGAGTTGAAGTCCACAAGTCATCAAAGGGCCAAGTTTGAAGACCCCTGCTTGTGGATTTCAACTCCCAGAATTCCTCAGCCAACGTGAGGGAACTAGGACCCTTTGATGACTTGTGGACATCAATTCCCAGAATTCCTCAGCCGGCGTGAGGGAACTAGGACCCTTTGATGATTCATGGACTTCAACTCCCAGAATTCCTCAGCCGGCGTGCCTGGCTGAGGAATTCTGGGAGTTGAAGTCCACAAGTCATCAAAGGGCCAAGTCGGAAGACCCCTGCTCTGAATGGCCTCCTTGCAAGGCCATTCTTGAGCACGTACAGAGGGCAGCCCAAGACAACCCCCCCCCAGCCCTCTGCACGACAGGAGCAAAGGCTGCGGGAGCATGTGCAAAGCGCTGAACTAGAAAAAAAAAAAACTTTTCACTTTTTTTTTTTGAACGTTTTGACCTCGTTTTCCCTCCTGAGGTTTTTCTCGATCGTTGCTGCGGGCGCCACGTTGCAAAACTGGGGATCACTTTAAAAAAAAAAAAAGACCAAATTTAAAAAAGAGTGGATTTAGGATAATTCTATCTTTACATACTGAGATCAGGAAAAAGGGGAGCGGTGGCCAAGCGGCGCCGTGGCTTAGTTGGTTAAAGCGCCTGTCTAGTAAACAGGAGATCCTGGGTTCGAATCCCAGCGGTGCCTTTTTTTTTTTTCTTTTTTCTTTTTCCCCTTTTTCTTCCTCAAACTCCCCCCACGAACCCCCGTTTTTGCAAAAACGCCCGCCGACGGTTGCAAAGAGCTACCGTCCCATTTCCCCCCCCAAAAAATGCATCCTTTTTGCATTACTATTATTATTATTATTATTATTATTATTATTATTATTATTACTATTATTACTATTACTATTATTATTATTATTACTATTACTATTATTATTATTATTATTATTATTTTAAATTCCAGCAAGTCTCTTTTTTGCAATTCGAGAGCAGCGCAGGCTTTTCTTTCCCCCCCCCCCCACTTCCTCCCCCGACGCGGATGCAACCCGTGCAAGGCTTTTCTCACGTGCTCCAATCGCAAAGTTGCCCTTCTTGTGCTAAAAAAAAAAAACAGGGATGCGGGTCAAGAATCGGCTGCAACGTGGGAAACGGACACGGGAAGGCGGGTTTGGAGAAGATGGGTTGCAAGAAAGGTGAGCAAAAGGAGATCTTTTAGGAAAATGTTATTTTATGGGCAAAAAAAGAAAAAAAAATCAAAAGTTGCATTGGCCGGGAATCGAACCCGGGCCTCCCGCGTGGCAGGCGAGAATTCTACCACTGAACCACCAATGCTTGCTTCTTTGCCTGGTTTTTTTTCCATGTTTGTAAACTCCATTCAATGGGGGAGGGAAGAGTACAGTCCAGTGCAAGTAATTTTTTTTTTTAATTGCAAAATTTTTTATTTTCAAATTTTTCATTACATCATAAAAAATACTTCAGATAAAGAATAAAATAAATTTATACACACAACATTCGGAATTGCTCACCCATTTCCAAGTAATTTTTGATTTACAGCATTTCATTTAGTGACCGTTCAAAGTTACAAAACTGCACTGGAAAAAAAGTGACCTTTTTTCCCCCATTTTTTTTTTTCAATCTCATTTTTATCTAATATTTTTTTTCCCTGCTGTTCTATGCCTCATGCCTTCACTTGTATTTTTTTTTTGCTTTTTTGCATTATTAATATTCTTCTTCTTTTTTTTTTTAGTTGTATTTTTAACCAACAAAACAAAACAAAGCAAAACATAACACACATACACACACAGTATATACTCCTCTCCCCTTTTTTTTAACAGCAATTACATAACGGTCATCTTCTATTATTTACATTTCCCCCCCTTATTCTTCTTTAGAATATTTGTCCTTATTGCCCCGTTGTTTCTTATTTACATTTTTTCTTCCTTCATATTCTACTTCTTACTAAGAATAATTCATATTATTATTATTATACAATATTATACACATATTTTCACTTTTGACCTTTCCATATTTATTCTCCTCTATTATTTCTACTCTATCATTTTTTGCATTATTAATACTATTCTTATTGGTAGGATGGTGGTGATGGTTGTCATCGTTCGGTTGCTTTGTATGGACCCTGATGAGCATCTGCATCCGAGACAAATTGTGTGTCTAATCACAACTTGGCCAAAACAAGCATTCAATTCAATTCAATTTTCTTTCTTTCTTTCTTTCACCCCCCCCCCTTCCCCAAATTCCCTCATTTGCAGAAGAGACAAGTTGCTTGTGATAAGGGCACGTGAACAAATCTCTGCTATCTGGATTAGCTCATTAGCACCCGGGGCCAGCTTAGGCCGCTATCTGAAATTGACAAGATCCTAATCCATTTAACCTGTTTTGTACCCTAAAGAACATGGCACCAAGACATGTGTATGCAGAATAACCAAATTGGAAGGGACCTTGGAGGTCTTCTAGTCCAACCCCCTGCTCAGGCAGGAAACCCTATCCCATTTCAGACAAATGGCTGTCCAGTCTCTTCTTAAAAATTTCCAGTGTTGGAGAAGGAAGGGAGGAAGGAAGGAAGGAAGGAAGGAAGGAAGGAAGGAAGGAAGGAAGGAAGGAAGGAAGGAAGGAAGGAAGGAAGGAAGGAAGGATAACAGAATAAAATTTGGAAGGGACCTTGGAGGTCATCTAGTCCAACCCCCGGCTCATGCAGAAAACCCTATAGTACCATTTCAGACAAATGGCTGTCCAGTCTCTTCTTAAAAACTTCCAGTGTTGGAGGGAGGGAGGGAGGGAGGGAGGAAGGAAGGAAGGAAGGAAGGAAGGAAGGAAGGAAGGAAGGAAGGAAGGAAAGGAAGGAAGGATAACAGAATAACAGATGGAAGGGTCCTTGGAGGTCATCTAGTCCAACCCCCTACTCAAGCAGGAGTTGCTATGCCATTTCAGACAAAGGGCTGTCCAATCTCTTCTATTCCCCAGGGTTTCCTTGCTTACTCTCTTTTAATCCCTTTCTCTTCAATGAATGTTAATGCATTCCCCCCCCCCCCCTTTACTAGTTATCCCAGAAGAGAGGTGAGGATTCCAAAGATTCCTCCAGGACATTCCAGAGCATGAGCCTTCCCCACCATTAAGGCTCAGCCAGCTGATTGGGGTCCTTTCCTCCTTAATAGGCAATTTCTTAATAAATCTTTTGAAAGCTTTACTAAAATCCCAGTGTCTCTCTAAGTAACAGAATGACTGAGTTGGAAGCGATCTTGGGGGGGGGGGTCTTCTAGTCCAACCCCCTGCTCAAGCAAAGGCTGAGGAATTCTGGGAATTGAAGTCCACAAGTCATAAAAGGGCCACGTTTGAAGACCCCTGCCCCTATAACATTTCAGACAAGTGGTTGTCCCAATCTTTTGGGACAACTTCTGGTGGCAAGCGGTTCCACTGATTCAATGTTCTCATTGTTAGGAGATTTCTCCTTAATTCTAAATTGCTTCTGTCCTTGATTACTAAGTGCCCTTTTCGGAGGCTTCAGAGGCGCCCAGATCAAAGGCGGCCCATGGCTGCAACGCCAGAGGAGAAGCAGACACCCCCCCACACCGGGGCTCCATTCCTTCCAGATGTGCAATGACTACCACTCCCATCATTCTCCCTTGGCTGGGCATTTTGGGAGTCGCAGCCCTGGCCAGAGGGTCCTCACTTGGCTCAAGGGAACTGCTTAACTGAGATCATCCTGGCTTCGTCGGAATTTAAACAGAATCACAAAGCTGGAAGGGACCTTGGAGATCATCTAGTCCAACCCCCTGCTCAGGCAGGAAACCCTAGACCATTTCAGACAAATGGCCATCCAGTCTCCTCTTAAAAACTTCCAGTTTTGGAGCATTCATAGCTTCTGGAGGCAGGTTGTTCTACTGATTAATTGTTCTAACTGTCAGGAAGTTTCTCCTTAGTTCTAGGTTGCTTCTCTCCTTGATTAGTTTCTACCCGTTGCTTCTCGTCCTGCCTTCAGGCCCTTTGGAGAATGGCTTGACTCCCTCTTCTTTGGGGCAGCCCCTGAGATATTGGAACACGGCTATCATGTCCCCCCTCATCCTTCTCTTCATTAAACTAGACATACCCAATTCTAGCAACCGTTCCTTATGTGTTTTAGCCTCCAGTCCCCTAATCATCTTTGTTGCTCTTCTCTGCATTCTTTCTAGAGTCTCAGCACTTTTTTTTTGTAATGTGGTGACCCAAACTGGATGCAATGGCCGTACTAAGGTTTTAAAAATGTTCTCCTTCTTTCGTTATCTGCCCTGCAAAATTCTAAATTTGTCACCCTGGTTAACAAAAACAGCCACCCTCCTTATTTAATCTTCCCAGACCCCTGTCCTCCAGTTTGTCCTGCAAAGCATCAGCCCCTACCCTTCCCACACCCCCATTTACAGACCCCCCACCCCCCCACCCCCGCTCCTTAATCACATCTGGATGAAAGGGCTTTGTACGTGTGATATGGAGAGAGCAATTGCCGCTGTTTGGCACCTGGCCAAGAACATCTGCGTTCTTCAGGGTGACTCACTCTGAAGTTGAGGGGGGGGGATGTTTAGACACAAACACACTCTGCGATACACACGCAATAAATGAGATCACTCTTCTGCACACTTCGTGTTTCCATCTGGGCCAAGCCAGGTTTTTTTATTTCAAATCCAAAAACGACTCAGAAGCAAATTGCAAAGGGGGGGGGGGGTTCTTTAAAGAGAGTGAGAGAGAGAAAAAAATAATGAATGCAACCTTCCCTTTTATATTCTTTGCAGACAGCCAGTCCTTGGCCTCCTTTTTACAGAGCCCTAGAGCAGTGGTTCTCAACCTTTTTAATGCTGCGACCCCCAACCGGTCGTAAGTCGAGGACTACTCAACCGGTCGTAAGTCGAAGACTACTCAACTGATGCAGCATCGTTTGCAGACTGGGACTTTTGGCGGGCTCAGCAGGGCAGAGACAGCCTGGGCAATTCCTATTGGCTTTGGAAAGCCAATAGAATTAGACTCTATTCAAGAGAGTCTCTTCTATTGGCTTTCAAAAGCCAATAGAAGAAAAGGGAGTAGCACAGCTAAGGAAAAGGGGGGAAAAAATGGCGGACTGCGTTGCTTGGCGACCCCCGTGAAATGGTCGTCCGACCCCAAATGGGGTCCCGACCCACAGGTTGAGAAGCACTGCCCTAGAGATCACCTCGAGGTAAATTTACCTGTGTCCCCCAGGGTCACCTGGGCAGGCTGTCTGCAAGGAGTATAAATCCTTCCATTTCCCCACCATCCCAGTCGGAGCTGAAGAAACCTCTTGGAAGGAGAAGCGAAAGGTCTTCGGAGAAAAACGAAGGGGAAAAAAAGCACTTTGGGGACGGCTCTTCCACCCCCCAACACCCCCCCCCCAATCACACACCCTTTGTGGGTTTACCATTTGTCTGCACAATTTCTGTCGGTTAGGCCAGGGAGAGAGAAAAAATACCCAAAGGAAGACAAATTCCAAAAGAGTCCTTGTGCCAAGGGATGCAGGAAAAGACACACACACAAAAAAAAACCAACAGCAGCAGTTCTCACACACACGCTCTCACCCGCGCACATGCAACACAACACAACACAACAAAAACCTGCCGCCACCACCATCCCAGAGAGGAATCTTGAGTCTTTGGCAACACGATTGGTCCTCCGGTGCCACGGAAGATGCAAATAGATTGCTTTTAGGGCCAGGGTCTCCACACTCCAAGTCCTGGGGGTCCCCATCGCTCCGAGAGTCTGCTCTGTGGGGCTCTGCTGCAGCCCTCCGTCCCCCTCGGTAGGGCGAGGCTGGGCAAGCAAGGCTGCAGTCCTGAGCCGGACAGGCCAGGGGTGGGCGGTGGAGGCCAGGCGTACGACGGTCCCCCCAGGGGTGGGCTGCACCCGCCAAAGACGCTGGGGCCGTAGCACGGCCGGGCTTCGTATCTGGGGTTGGAGGGTGCTAGAGAGGTGCAGGGGAGCTCCAGCTGGGGCCTGGGAGTGAGTTGCTCCATGCGGTGACAGATGCGGTCCACGCAAAAGGCTTTCTGGCCAGGACACAGGCCCGGGCTGGCCTGGAGGAAGCGGCTGGCTTGAGCAAGGCATTGGCGATGGCCACTGCGGTAGCTTTCCAGGAGAGCGTCTTCCTTGGAGGCTCCTTCTGAAGGAAGGAAGGAAGAAGGGAAGGAAGGAAAGAAGGAAGGAGAGAGAGAGAGAAGAAGAGAAGAGAAGAAAAGAGAAGAGAAGAGAAGAGAAGAGAAAGAGAAAGAGAAAGAGAAAGAAAGAAAGAAGGAAGGAAGGAGAAAGAAAGGGAAGGAAGGAAGGAAGGAAGGAAGGGAAGGTAATGGGAATGCAGAGAAGGAAGGAAGGAAGGAAGGAAGGAAGGAAGGAAGGAAGGAAGGAAGGAAGGAAGGAAGGAAAGAAATGAGAATGAAGTAGGCAGAGAAGAAAGAAAGGAAGGAAAGAAGGAAGGAAGAAAATGAGAAGGAAGTAGGTAGAGAAGGAAGGAAGGAAGGAAGGAAGGAAGGAAGGAAGGAAGGAAGGAAGGAAGGAAGGAAGGTAATGAGAATGAAGTAGGCAGAGAAGAAAGGAAGGATGGAAGGAAATGAGAAGGAAGTAGGTAGAGAAGGAAGGAAGGAAAGAAGGAAGGAAGGGAAGGAAGGAAGGTAATGAGAATGCAGAGAAGGGAGGAAGGAAGGAAGAGGGAAGGAGGGAGGGAGATGGGGATGAGAAGGGAGGAAAGAAGGAAAAAGGAAGTAAAAGAAGAGAGAAGAAAAGGGAGATGGGATTGAGAAGAATGGATGGATGGAAGTAGAAGGAAAGAAGGATGAGGGACAGAAAAGGGAGATGGAAGGAAGGTAGGAAGGAAGGAAGGAAGATGGGATGAGAAGGAAGAAAGGCAAATAAAAGGAAAGAAGGAAGAGATAATGAAAAAAGAGAAATGGATGGATGGATGGGAGGAAGATAGAAGGAAAGAGGAAGGAGGAAGAAAGGAGAGAAAGAAAGAAAGAAAGAAAGAAAGAAAGAAAGAAAGAAAGAAAGAAAGAAAGAAAGAAAGATCCATTGAAGAATCACATTGGCAATTTGGAAACACACAAAGGGCAACTTTTATATCAGGGCTCATCACAGTCACCCCCCTCCTCTCTCTGCTTGTGACGGCTGCCCCAACAAGCCAAGCCACCATCTTGCTAGGAGAAACATAGGTTGATTTCTCAGAGACCCAAGTCACCAGCCACAATCCCCCCAAACCCCCCCCCAGCAGGACCCACTTACACACACCCCACAGATCTAGTTGCACTTACCCCATAATGTCAAACGGTTGAGGTGGCATTTGAAGGGGGGGGAACAGAAGTGGAAGAGAGGAAGGAAATTTACTGCAGAGGGAATCAGAACAATAGAGCTGAATAGCGAGGGGCTGCCTTCCCCAACGTGTGCTGGGTTTGAATCCTAGGCCAGGGGTCTTCAAACGTGGCCCTTTGAGGACTTGTGGACTTCAACTCCCAGAATTCCTCCGCCTGGCTGAGTTGAAGTCCACAAGTCCTCAAAGGGCCACGTTTGAAGACCCCTGGCCTAGACATTCACACATATATATAGATATATATTTACCTACGTGTTTTTCAGCATTGGCCCCTTTAAGACAGGTGGAGTCCCAGAATTCAACACAGGCTGGGGAATTCTGGGAGTTGAAGTCCACAAGTCATCAAAGGGCCACGTTTGAAGACCCCTGGCCTAGATATTCACATAGATATACATATATATATATATATATATATATATATATATATATATATATATATATATATATATTGTATATATTTGTCTACGTGTTTTTCAACGTTGGCCCCTTTAAGACCCGAGGATTCCCAGAATTCAACACGGGCTGGGGCATTCTGGGAGTTGAAGTCCACCCATCTTCAAGGGACCCTCCAGCGCCAGAGGGTGAACTTTTGATTGACGCCCGATTTTATTCATTTCCCAGCTGGAGATAAACTTTGCTTTGCCACCACCACCACCCCTTTTTTGGGGGTCTAACTTTCAGCTCGTCAAATCTCGCGAAAGGGAGGGAAGGGACGTCAAATTTCTCTAGAAAATGATCAATCAAATCCATTTACGAATGCATCAGATTTGTACACCCCCCCCCCATGTCACAATAAAGTGCAGAAGGAAGCCCTCTCCATAACCCCGATAAGGAACGGGGACAGTCTGGGGGTGCCCGCCCCCCAGGAATAAACATCTGGGCAGAGTTTTGGGGCTTGAAACCCTCTGCAAGGGGAGGTGTTTTTTCTCTCTGAAAAGCTGGACAGCTGTTGCAGCGTTCTTTCCTCTTTCCATTTGAGGAAGGAAAGAAGCAAAAGATAAGAGGGCTCAGAGAAAGAAGGAAAGTCAGAAAGGAAAAAAGATGAGAGGGAGGGAAGGAAGGAAGGAGAGAGAAGAGAGGAGGAAAGGGGAAAAATAAGATGGAATGTGAAGAAGGAGGGAAGGAGGGAGGAAGGAAGGAAGGAAAGACATGAGAGAGAGAAGGAAGGAAGGAGGGAGAGAAAGAAAGGAAGAAAGAAGGGAGGGAGGAGAGAGGAAGAAGTGAAAGATAGAGAGAGAAAGAAGGAAAGATGGGAGGGGGAGAAGGAAGAAGGGAAGGAGAAAAAGGTAAGAAAGAGGAGACGGAGGGAAGGAAGAAGGGAGAGGAAGAAAGAAAGGAAGAAAGATGGGAGGGAGGGAGGGAGGGAGGGAGGGAGGGAGGGAAGGAAGAAGGAAACAAACCGAAGGTAAGAGGGATGAGAGGGAGGGCAGGAGGGTGGGAAAGAAAGAAAAAAGAAGGAAATGAAGAAAGATGGGAGGCAGAGAAGGAAGGGAAGAGAAAGAAGGCAAGAAAGAAGGAAAAAGAAAGATGGGAGGGAGGGAGAAGGGAGGAAGAAGAGAAAGACAGAAGAAGAAAGAAGGAAAGATGGGAGGGAGAAGAAGGGAGAAAAAGGTAAGAAAGAGGAGATGGAGGGAAGGAAGAAGGGAGAGGAAGAAGGAAAGGAAGAAAGACAGGAGGGAGGGAGGGAAGGAAGGAAGGAAGGAGAAGAAAGAAGCTGAGGAAGGAGAGGGCGAGAAGGAGGAAGGGAAAGGAAGAAGGAAACAAAGAAAGGTGGGAGATAGAACAGGAAGGAAGGAGAAAGAAGGGAAGAAGAAAGAAGGAAACGGAGAAAGGAAGAAAGAAGGAAAGAAGAAAGAAGGGAACGGAGAAAGATGGAAAGGAAGGAAGGAAGGAAGGAAGGAAGGAAGAAGGGAACAAAGAAAGATGGGAAGGAAGGAAAGAAGAAAGAAGGGAACGGAGAAAGATGGGAAGGAAGGAAGGAAGAAAGAAAGGAACAGAGAAAGATGGGAAGGAAGGAAAGAAGAAAGAAGGGAACGGAGAAAGATGGGAAGGAAGGAAGAAAGAAAGGAACAGAGAAAGATGGGAAGGAAGGAAAGAAGAAGGGAACGGAGAAAGATGGGAAGGAAGGAGGGAACAGAGAAAGAAGGGAAGGAAGGAAAGAGGGAATGGAGAAAGACGGGAAGGAAGGAAGGAAAGAAGGGAACGGAGAAAGATGGAAAGGAAGGAAGGAAGGATGGAAGGAAGGAAGGAAGGAAGGAAGAAGGGAACGGAGAAAGACGGGAAGGAAGGAAGAAGGGAACAAAAAAGATGGGAAGGAAGGAAAGAAGAAAGAAGGGAACGGAGAAAGATGGGAAGGAAGGAAGGAAGGAAGAAAGAAGGGAACGGAGAAAGATGGGAAGGAAGGAAGGAAGAAAGAAGGGAACGGAGAAAGAAGGGAAGGAAGGAAAGAGGGAATGGAGAAAGACGGGAAGGAAGGAAGGAAAGAAGGAAACGGAGAAAGACGGGAAGGAAGGAAGGAAGGAAGGAAGGAAGGAAGGAAGGAAGGAAGGAAGGAAGGAAGGAAGGAAGGAAGGAAGGAAGGAAGGAGAGATACCTGGAAGCGGCTGCGTCTTGAGGAATTCCACCGTCTTTTGCAGAATCTCCGCTTTTTCCATTTTGGGGTTCCGGAGCCTCTGCGGAGAAAGAGCGAGAGCCCCAGACGAGCGCAGAGGGGAAGGTGGGGGGGGGAACGTGGGGGGGGGGACAGAGCAAGAGAGACAGAGAAAGGGAGATGGGAGGGGGGAAGGAAGCGGGGCATGAAACCAAACTTTCCGCAGCATCGCCCTCCCCACGCGGGGCCGGGGGAGCGGAGTGGCGTGGAGCGGCTGTGGGGGGGGGGTGTCTCACCTCGTCGCGCGTGGCCTCCAGCAGCAGGAGCCGCAGGCGGGCCAGGCTGCGGTTCATGCGCTCCCGCCGCCGCTTCTCCATCAGGGGCTTCAGCAGCTGCGGGGGGGGGGGGAGGCAGAGAGAGAGAGAGAGAAAGTCGGGTCGGGGGTCCCGGAGGGCGCTGGGTGAGTCTGGGGAGGGGGGGGGTCTCCCGACCTTTCCCCCCGGCCTCGCCCGCCCTTCCCAGGCGCGCGCGCGCGTGGGGGTCCCCCACCCTACCTTCTTCTCCTCCTTGCCTTCCCACTTGGGATCCCCCACCTTCATCATCTTCACGCCCCCACCCCACCGCACCTGGAGCGAGCCGGAGAGGGATCTGCGCGGGGGTCGCTGGCGGAGGACCCTTTTATAAGCCCCCCCCCCACCGGCCCCGCCTTTCCTCTCCCTCCTGGGCTGGCCCGGGAGAGAGCCGGCGCGTGGCAGGCGCACGGGCAAGCGGGAAGACCCCACCCCTCGCCCCCTTTCCCCCCCTCCCCACCTTCCGCCCGGACCCCTGACCCAGCCTCGCCCCCTCCTCCATTTGTTGCATGGCAGCAGCCCAGATGGGTTTGTGGTTGCAAGGCAGCTCTCTCTACCTGTTGAATGGCCAACTCTTGGCTTGACTTTCCCTGCACGTGAGGAAGACACACGCGCGTGCGCGCACGCGCACACACACACACACACACACACACACACACACACACACAGAGTCCATAGGGCTGCCCAGCCTCGCCCCCTCCTCCATTTGTTGCATGACAACATCCTTCAGGCCTTATGGATTTGGTGGCGGGTCGCAAGGCAGCTCTCTACCTGTTGAATTGCCAACTCTTGGCTTGACTTTCCCTACACTCAAGGAAGAGCCCCCCCCCTTTCCTCACAGCTCTAGGGACCCTTGGCCCAGCCTCGGTCCCCTCCCTCCGTTTGTTGTATGCCAGCAGCCTGGCTTGCTCTACCAGTTGAATTTCCAACTCTTGTGGACTTCAACTTCCAGAATTCCCCAGCCTGCTTTAAGCTGGGTGGACCTCAGCTTCCAGAAGTCCCCAGCCAGCATGTTTTAAGGTGGGTGGATTTCAACTCCCAGAATTCCCCAGCCAGCATTCTTTAAGTCGCAGGGGTCTTCCAACTTGGCCCTTTGGTGACTGGAGGACTTCAACTCCCAGAATTCCTCAGCCAGGCACGCTGGCTGAGGAATTCTGGGAGTTGAAGTCCACGAGTCACGAAAGGGCCAAGTTGGAAGACCCTTCCTTGTGGACTTCAACTCCCAGAATTCCTCAGTCACTTTAAAACCTTGGGGACTTCAACTCCCAGAATTCCCAATGTCTGGCTGAGGAATTCTGGGAGCTGAAGTCCACGAGTTGGAAGACCCCTCCTTGTGGACTTCAACTCCCAGAATTCCTCAGCCAGGCACGCTGGCTGAGGAATTCTGGGAGTTGAAGTCCACAAGTCATCAAAGGGTCCTAGTTCCCTCACGCTGGCTGAGGAATTCTGGGAGTTGAAGTCCACCAGTCATCAAAGGGCCAGGTTTGAAGACCCCTGGGTTTTTTGGGGGGGGGGCTTCCGGTAATTTTATGCCCACCGCAAGAGCAAGAGCAATTGCCCCAAATCCCCCTGGGTGTTCCCAGCTGGAGACGGGGCTTCCATCTCCCCTGTTTTGTGCAAGTGCCTGTCAAATCTTTGACAAGTGCCTGACAGGCGAGGGATAATTATCAGGGTCATGATGACGGTGATGCTGATGATGGTGTGGCTGGACACCCAGCCAGCCAGATGTTCAGGCTGGTTTTGACCGTTTTGTCCACCTCTGCCGGACTCCTGTCTAAGGACCTGGGATAGGCAGATGTTCTTATTTGACAGGGTTTGGGCCAATCGCCAGGAGACGGTGAGTTCTAGTCCCGCCTTAGCCCAGAAAGCTGGCTGGGTGACTTTGAGCCCATCCCCAGGAGATGGTGAGTTCTAGTTCTGACTTAAACATGGAAGCCAATTGGGGTGACTCTGGGCCCATCACCAGGAGATGCTGAGTTCTAGTCCCACTTTAGCCATGAAAACCACCTGGGTGACTTTGGGCCAATCACCAGGAGATGGTGACTTCTAGTTCCATCTTAGCCATGAAAGTCAACTGGGTGACTTTGGGCCAATCCCCAGGAGACGGTGAGTTCTAGTCCTGCCTTAGCCATGAAAGTCAACTGGGTGACTTTGGGCCAATCCCCAGGAGACGGTGAGTTCTAGTCCTGCTTTAGCCATGAAAGTCAGCTGGGTGACTTTGGGCCAATCCCCAGGAGACGGTGAGTTCTAGTCCTGCCTTAGCCATGAAAGTCAGCTGGGTGACTTTGGGCCAATCCCCAGGAGACAGTGAGTTCTAGTCCTGCCTTAGCCATGAAAGTCAACTGGGTGACTTTGGGCCAATCCCCAGGAGACGGTGAGTTCTAGTCCTGCTTTAGCCATGAAAGTCAGCTGGGTGACTTTGGGCCAATCCCCAGGAGACGGTGAGTTCTAGTCCTGCCTTAGCCATGAAAGTCAACTGGGTGACTTTGGGCCAATCCCCAGGAGACGGTGAGTTCTAGTCCTGCCTTAGCCATGAAAGTCACCTGGGTGACTTTGGGCCAATCCCCAAGAGACGGTGAGTTCTAGTCCTGCCTTAGCCATGAAAGTCAACTGGGTGACTTTGGGCCAATCCCCAGGAAACGGTGAGTTCTAGTCCTGCTTTAGCCATGAAAGTCAACTGGGTGAACATGAGCCACTCCCTCCCTCCCTCCCTCTCACTCAGCCCAACCCACCTCGCAGGGTTGATGTTGTGGGGGTAAATAGGAGGAGGAAGGTGTGTTAGATACGTCTGCTATCTTGACCTACTCGTAAAAACAGGTGGGATTCAAATAAAAATAAAATAAAATGTATTTGTTGTATTAAATTTCTACACTGCTCATTTGACTGATACGGTGATTTGGGGCCATATTTATTGGGGAGATGCTTTCTCTCTCTCTCTCTCTCACACACACACACACACACACAACACACACACACACAACACACACACACACACACGCATGCACACACACACATACACACACAGGTACACTCCCTGTGCTCCATAATACAATGGAGGAACTTTTGCATCTGAATGAGCACAGGCGCTGGGGAGCTGGAAGGGAGTTGTGTGGGTTTGTGTGGGTTTGTGTGTCTGTGTGTGTCTGTGTGTGTCTGTGTGTCTGTGTGTTTTTCCAGAAAGCCCTCTCTTTTATTGCCTTTTATTGGGGGTCCCTCGTTAGAGAGAGATGATTGTGGGAAAGTGAAGCCTGCAGCCATAAAGACGGAGGTGTCAGGATGACCTCACAGGAAAAGTTGGGAAACAGCTTCAAATAAAAAGGATGAGAACTTTCCCACAACTTGGAGGAGGAGGAGGAGAAGTTGCAGAAGCTGTCCGTCTGTCAGTCAATCCATCCATCAATCAGCCCTCTGTCAATCAATCAGGCAGCCCTGGGCTGTCCAGTTGGGAAGGGGAGAGAGAGAGAAAAAAGGCAGATCAGGCTGTCAATCCCACAGGGAAGTTGCCTGCAGAGGTTGTGGGGGCTCCGTCACAGAGAGTGGGCAGCCTTTTGTCTGGAATGGGATATAGGGTCTCCTGCCTGAGCAGGGGGGGTTGGACTAGATGACCCCCGAGGTCCCCTTCTGACTCTGTGATTCTGTATAGGGTCTCCTGCCTGAGCGGGGAGGGGTTGGGGTTGGACTAGATGACCCCCGAGGTCCCCTTCCGACTCTGTGATTCTGTATAGGGTCTCCTGCCTGAGCGGGGGGGGGTTGGGGTTGGACTAGATGACCTCCGAGGTCCCCTTCCGACTCTGTGATTCTATATGGCAGGGCTCTCCCAACTTGGCCCTTTGATGACTGGTGGACTTCAACTCCCAGAATTCCTCAGCCAGCGTCAATGCAGGGGGTCTTGTTCCCTTGGGGGGGGTTAAAACTGCAGAGTGGAGCCTCACCCTTCCAAGGCAGTGTATCTGAAATTCCTCTCGATGAATAGGAGGTGGCCAAGGGGAGACGGTTACTCAGCCTTTCATGAGAGTCTTCCTTGAGGTTCCTCCCTCCCTCCTTCCCTTCGCTCCTTCCTTTATTCACTCCCTCTCTCCCTTCCTTCCTTCCTACCCTTCCCTTCTCCCCTTTTTTCTTCCTTCCTTCTTTTTTCCTTCCTTCCCTCCCTCTCCCTTTCTTCCTACCCTTCCCTTCTTGCCTCCCTCCCTCCCTTCCTTTGCTTCTTCCTTCTTTCCCACTGTCCTTCCTTCCTTCCTTCCTTCCTTCCTTCCTTCCCTTCCTTCCTTCACTCCCTTCCTTCCTTTGCTCCTTCCTTCACTCCCTCTCCTTTCCTTCCTACCCTTCTTCCCTTTTTTCTTCCTTCTTTTTTCCTTCCTTCCTTCACTCCCTCTCTCCCTTCCTTCCTACCCTTCCCTTCTTCCCTTTTTTCTTCCTTCCTTCCTTCCCGCCCTCTCCCTTTCTTCCTACCCTTCCCTTCTTCCCTCCCTCCCTCCCTTCCTTTGCTCCTTCCTTCCCTTCCTCTGCTCCTTCCTTCCTTCCCTTCAGCTTCCTTCCTTCCCTCCCTCCCTTCCTTTGCTCCTTCCTTCATTTGCTTCTTCCTTCCTTCACTCCCTTGCTCTTCTTTCCTACCCTTCACTTTCCTTCCTTCCTCCCTCCCTCCTTTCTTTCTTTCTTTCTTTCTTTCTTTCTTTCTTTCTTTCTTTCTTTCTTTCTTTCTCTTTCCTCCCTTCCTTCCTTATATTCCTCGCTCTCTTCTTTCCTCCCTTTCACTTTCCTTCTTTCTCTTTCTTTCTTTCTTTCTTTCTTTTTCTTTCTTTCTCTTTCCTCCCTCCCTTCCTTCCTTCTATTCCTCCCTCTCTCTTTCCTTCCTTCCTTCCTTCCTGCCTTCTTTCCTTCCTTCCTTCCTTCCTTCCTTCCTTCCTTCCTTCCTTCCTTCCTTCCTTCCTTCCTTCCTTCCTTCCTTCCTTCCTTCCCTCTTCCAACATTTACTGGCTTAGTGGTTTCTGAGCTCTGCTCCTAATCCTGCTCTTCTTAAACAAATCCATGTCCATTTTCCCACCTGGAGAATAATCCATGTATTAAATTTCTTTATCGTTTATGATGATACTTCCACAGCTCTTCTTCAAACGCACCGTTCTACACGGATTTCTCTCTCTGTGTGTGTGTGTGTGTGTGTGTGTGTGTGTCACACAATTCAGAAAAACCCTGGAGTGTCGAGTATTCCTTCTCAGGAGATGGTCTATAATTGAATGCCAACTCGCCACCCC